CTGCCGGTGGTCGTCACCCCTCGGGTGGTGGGGGAAGAGGCCCAAAGGGCTGGGCAACTTTTCTGTGCTGCTTTCGCACGCCGGGAGAGCTGTGAGGGAGAGCAACGTGTCAGGTCCTTGCCCCCCCGCCGGCCCGGTGAGCCCCTCGGGGCAGGTGGGCTCCAGGGGGGTTGTTCATGCGTGTTTAATGCTACCTCCTCAATCTCAGCGACTGAGCTGGGAGAGCTATGTTGATGGGAAACTGCATGGGGTTAGGAGCCTGTAGATACAACGAGGGGAGGTATTTATTTATCATCAGGGCATCTCTTGGGACTGGAATTGCGATGTCTGGCATCAGTTTAACCGTGTCAGGGCTGCAAAGCGGGTGTCTTCCTCTTTGGAGGGGGCTGCTTTCAAAGACTCACCTTTTGATGTAGCAGGTGTTGATGATGTGCTTCAAATGGTACATAAAGACATTATAGGTGAAGTGTGTTACGGCTTGTATGGCAGTACATGTTCCAGGGAGAAGTTTGGCTGGTTAAATATGCTGAAGCCTACATGTCTGATGTAATTTATGTGCTGGACCTTCAGGGTTTTTAATATAGAAGCTGTTGCTATGTTGCAATAAAAAGCCTTCCCAAACACGCAAAAATATTTTTGCAGCTTGCAGCTTCAGAAAAATCAAATCGGAGGCTCTGTTAGACAAATATACTGGAGCAGAGCATGCCCTGCTGTTGTTGATTGTGCATGTCTCTAGAGTCTTTAGAGCTGCCAACATCTCGCCACTAGTATATTAGTTGGTAGTTTCTTCAGAGCTTGAAAGTAGAAGGAGTTGGACTAGCTCTAGCATGGATCAGGCAGTCAGAGTGATGGTGGTAGGAATAACCACATAGTTCTGCATCTGTTCCATCGTTCCCCGGAAGCATGCGTCTGCATCTGTACCTGAGTAGTAGGTGCTTCCTCCTCCACTCAGCTGTTTGTAGCAACTATACCAGCAGGGATATGTATGTGCAAGGATGAAGATTAGATAGCAGGGAAGCAATGTTTTTTGTGGTGTGATTTAAGGATGACAGTATACTGAGTGGGGCCCCTGTAGGTTAAATGTTTGACAGCTTCCCTTGGCAATCTAGGCTTGTTGAATCAAAAGAGTAGGAGCCTTTCTAATATAGTATTTTGGAAAACAGAACAAGGGTAGAAAGAAAGAAGGAAAATTGCTTGCAATAAAAGTAGTGGTAAATATGCCAAGATATCATCTAGGGAGGTAATCTGGGTTGAAGGACTACTTAGAGACAGTTGTGAGAGAGAAAGTCTAGAAAAGATTGTAGAAAACATCAGGAGCTTCCTGAATAGAACTGTTAATTGTACAAATGTGCTCTGTTGATGTTGCATGCCTTCTTCAGAGGAAGGTTTGTAAAATACCATTACTAATGGAAGGTTTCTTTGTTGGTAAGTAGCCTAGGCCATCAGTTTCTGCAGTGTCTATGTTCTCGTTTGAGGTATTAAATTGAAATCCCTTTGCTGTGGAGATAGTTTTCCCATTGTAAAACTAATCCAAACCAATCTAGTATTGACTTCCCAAGACTGCAGAAGTTGGTGTGACTGTATTTCTACTCACAGCTAAGGTTCATCAGCCCCAGAGCAATGTTTTTAAGAATAAATTATGTGTCATGGACTGTAAGGACAGTAATGCAGCTTCAGAAATGTTTGTTTTATACTACTGGTTCTGTTATCTGAACAAGCTATGAATAGCAGATGATGAGATTATTTGGGAGCCATTTAGTTCTTTGTGCTGCTGTGTGTTGCCTTTGCAAGTGCTTCTTTTGGAGGAGAACAGTTCTACTTAGTTTCCCAGACTTTGAGCTTAGTGCCTGCTCTGTGTCTATCCAAAGCTTTAAGTGCATTCTGTGGTATGTGGGGACAGTGAAAAGCAATTGAAGAGGCTGACTAAAAATTATCAGCCGTGACGTTGTGGTGATACCTAAAGTGTTTCCCTTTTGAAGTGTATAATTGCAAACATCTCTTTTGTTTGGAAGAAGGAGCTGCTCTCTGGTGGCATTTGGCTTTTTGGGTTAATGCTACACAATGTAGTTAGGATGTTTTTGAGTTACCTAATCCAAGTAAAACAGACCTGGACATGACTTTGGAAGTAATTTGCTTGTGTCATTTATACCAAGAAAGTAATGGTAATGGTGTTTATTTCTAGCTTGTTATCCTCAAAATCCTTTTGTAGCATCCATTTGTGTTAAAATTGTGTGTGTGTGTGTGTATATATATATTTATGAAACATAAGTAAACTTTGTTCCTTAATCAGTGGGGATGATCATGTTACTGGGATGTGCTCAGATATCACAGAGAAAGTGCATGTGCACTGACCTGGATTGATAAAACTAATTATAACAATAACATTTTAAAACAAATGTGTGGTTTTTCACACCAGGAGCTCTTGTCATTGGCCAAACGGAAACGCAGTGACTCTGAAGAAAAGGAGCCACCTGTGAGCAAACCTACAGCGTCTTCAGACTCTGAGACGTCAGACAGTGACGATGAGGTGAGTTTTCATGTTTTCAGTGAACTTACTATGGGTTGTTTGTCTGATTGTACCTAAGCAGTGAAAGTGTATTTACCATACAGTATATTTAGCCTGCTGACTTCATAAAGTGGGACTGGCCATCAGTGGAACTGATGGACACTCGTTAAGCCCAGAGGATGTGTACTCAGAAATACTTTTTTTTTTCTTGTAATTAGTATGCTTTGAATTGTAACTCTAAACAAAATATTCTGAATGTCTGTAGAAAAGATGACTGCTTGTTTAATCTCATTTTCATACGATCTGAATGGTTTGGTGATCTGCCTGCTTAAAACTACTGTTTCTCCCATGTAATGTTTGTGGACGAAGTAGCAGTGAAGCTGCTAAAGCTGGACTGTGAATTCAAGGGAGGGGGGTTTTCAGCTTTAGAAGAGAGCTTCCTTCCTCAGAGAGGAAGAGGGTCAAGGCAGGTGGTACTATTTTACAGGTGGTAAAACTGTTCTATTTAGCTACTTTGGTTCACCAAGAACTCTACTGTGAACTAGCTTGTCTGGTCATTTGAATATGCAACAGAGTGTGTTTTTATTGGCATTTTTGAAGAAAGTGAGGCAAGGAAGAGTTTAGAATGATTTTCTTCTAGGGTTTTGTCAATTCCTTATATAGCAGTGCTTATTTGCTAGATCTGTTTTTATTATTTGTTCTTGTAGTACATTCTAGAGCTGGTTAAAAGTTGCTGCTTTAATCTAAAAATGAAAATTGAAATCAACTTATTAAAGCAGAGGAACTGACAAACAGGCCAGGCAGGTATTTGAATAAAAACATTTTCTTGAAAGGTTACAAATGTCTTTTGCAAGCTTTCTGTGCAATGTAGAGAGGTCCTTTATTCCATTCATTCTTAAAAATTTAACAGGGAGCTGTTTGGGGTGGGTTTTGCTGAAACTACAGGAAGGATTATTCATTGTGACAACTTGAAGACCAATAGGGTAGGCCAATGATAAACTGTTAGCTATGAAGCATTTGGTAGTGTAGTAGAATTCTTTAAGTGTAAAGAATGTGTGGTTTAGTTTTGTTTCTGAGGCATTTTTGAAATAAATATGCTTGGAACTCTGTTTCAATCAATCCTGTTCTTTAAAAAAAAAAAAACAAAACAAAACTCACTCTGGTATCTAATGTATGCTTAAGATATAAGGAGAGAGAAAACTATGAATCGACTAGATATTAGGTTTGATATTGGGTGACCACTCAGTTGTCATTCTGTGTGTTCTGTTCTGCTGGCACGCAGCTTATTTATTCTAAGCGGTGTGCAGAACAGTTTGTCTGGAAAGGTAGACTTAGGTGTGGAGAGCACCTCAATGATAAAGTTTTCTGTTCTGTGTTTATCTCTGAAGACTGATGGAATAAATAATATTATTCAAAATTTTTTTTTAGCTTGTGTAACTGTCCATTGTATGTAGAATATGACAATGTATCTCTTCACAAATTTGCACAGCCCTTGCAGATGCAGTAGTATCTCTGTTGCACCATGTGCATTTGATACTTTCTAATCTGTGTATCATTTCTAATTGATACTCTGTTCTTTCTGACCTCCATGCAGCAGGAGGAAAAGATTTAGAGAAGAGGTAATTAGGACATTTGCTTCTATTCTTGTGCCTGAAATATGCATTCTGAACTGCTGCTTGTCACAGCAGGGCGAGACAGGCTGTGTTACGACAGTTCTCCTTCTGCCAGTCATTCAGTTGTGTGCATCTCTAGGCTTGACTACACTACTCCTGCTTAAACAACTTTGATTTTAATCAGTGTTCTTGTGGTTAGTTTGACGTTTGCTCAACCTTGGACGTTGGGAGGGGTGGTCTAAAAGTTGAAATTGTCTTACTGGTCTTCCTGCAAGGTGAGGACCTTGAGGCAAAAGCATGGAAACTGTTGCCTGGGGCAAATGTGCTTAATCATACCCATTTGCTGCCACGCAGGTTTTGTAGTGTGTACATCCTTTGTGGTTCCTGGCAAGTGCTGAATATTCTGGGATTGTCACTGTGTTCCATGTACAGGAAAGGAGTCTAAATCTCTGCTTCAGAGTCTAATGCTGTTTTCTGCATTTTTTTAAAGGGAGGAATGTTTGGGAGGGCATTGGTGAGAGAAAGACAATGCATTTTGAAATTATAGAATAACAGCATGTACAAATCACGCCACATCTATACAATGGTGTCCAAGGGATTTCAGTAGATCTTTAACATTATATTTTGTGTGTCTCGGTGAGAATGTGCTTCTGTAAAAGCTCGTAGCCATGTCAGGTGTTCATGGTGCAGATGCTGGGTTCTGTAACATTTTAAGTACCTGTGTGGTCTGAATCAAATTACCTAGCCAAGGGATTGAAGATGAAGTTGCAGGCAATGAAATAGGAGGCATGCTCTGAACCATCTTCTGGTGGGTCTGCGGAACGTGCGTGACTGAATTGACTATAAACTGTTGTTCTGACAAACTGATAAATAGCAATGATTGCAGGGCTTTGCAATAAGAAGTACCACCTTCGCAAAGAGATTTCTACTAAGCTGGAGACAGATGTGGAGACAGATGGTTCCTTTATCTGTGGAGCAACATGTGGCCATGATTACCCAAGAGCTCACCATCCCAAACTGTTGTTAGCCTGCTGCATGTAACCAGTTTGGTGTTAGCCAAGTTACTATTGGGGCTACTGTGCTAGAGGTATATGTGTCCACAGGGTACCCTCGTTGCTTATTGAAGACATTGTGTGGATGGTGTTCCTCAGTTGCAGTAGGTTAGTTCTGGGTTCTTGCTCTTCCTCTGGCATCACTGCTTACAGTAAGAGAATTCTTTCTGTTGTGTGGTGAAGCCTGGATGACTTCTGCAACAACTTCACTAACATCAGTGTAGATTAGTGTCCTGATTTCGGCTGGGATAGAGTTAATTTTCTTCCTAGTAGCTGGTACAGTGCTGTGTTTTGGATTTAGGATGAGAATAATGTTGATAACACACTGATGTTTTAATTGTTGCTGAGCAGTGCTTACACTAAGTCAAGGACTTTTCAGCTTCTCATACTGCCCTGCCAGCAAGGGGACTGGAGGTGTACAAGAAGCTGGAAGGGGACACAGCCAGGACAGCTGACCCAAACTGGGCAAAGGGATATTCCATACCGTACGACATCACGCTGAACAAAAAACTGGGGAGGCTGGCCGCAGGGACGGGGCTGCTGCTCAGGAACTGGCTGGGCATTGGTCAGCGGGTGGTGAGCAATTGCATTGTGCATCACTTGTTTTGTATATTTTTGTATCATTATTATTATTTTCCCTTCCTTTTCTGTCCTATTAAATTGTCTTTGTCTCAACCCACAAGTTTTAACTTTTTTCCGATCCTCTCCCCCATCCCACTGGGGGGGAGTGAGTGAACGGCTGTGTGGTGTTCAGCTGCCTGCTGGGTTAAACCACAATAATTAGACAGAAAGCCACAATGCTGTAGGAGCTCCTGTTTATTTCTCTTGAAAGGTTTGTTGTTAGCAATGCTGGTGTAAGTCTGTGCATCCTTCTACGCTCATTCTAATGTTGTGAGGGGTTTGGTTGTGCCTTTTAACAGCTCTAGGGTGATAGCAGAAGGTAACTCCAGGACCAGAAAGGTTACGTCATGAATGCTTGGTACTAGTCTGGAGTTTAGTGAGAGATATCTGTTTAGGCCTTTATTTGCAAGTATGCAGATTCAGTAGGAAACAGCATAGCTGAAGATCTCCTCAAGAGCTATGGGACAGAGGAAGAGGTGAACAGCGGTCATGCAGCCAGTGAGGAAATCAGTCTTGAATAACAGTCGGCCTAGGAGGCTTTATGCCCCTATTGTGAGGAAAGGGCTCGAAAGTTTGGATCTACTTACTGCACTTCAAGTTAGAGCATTCTAGTAAACCACAGGTTAGCAGAAAACTGTATGTGTTCCTTCTGTTTTGGGGGTGTCTTTTGTGGGTTTGTAGAGATTATGATGCTAAATGTCTTCCTTCCCTGCGTGCTTTTATTTCATAATACTGCTTAACTAGGTGTCCAAGAATGAGTGGGTTCTCCAGTCCTGTGAGACCTCTGCCATACATTTTTTCAAGCTTAAGACATTTGAAATGGGCTGTGCTTTAATCTTCCTATACGCAGTCATATAGGCTGTGTGCTTTGTAATTTTAACTTCTCTTGGAGACAGTTTCCTTCAGCTGTTAACAGGTAGAATAGTAAAGCTTTCCTTACGGAAGTGAGGTGCTGTTACTCCCCCCACCCCAAACAAAGTGCAAGTGCAAATCTGAATAGCGTAGGCTAATTGTTTGGAGGCTAGCATGTCCAAAGAAGTAATGTGAACCAGCTGAGGACAAGAGAGGTATAAAATCTGGTCTGTAAGTAGCTTCTTTAAATTGCAAACTAGCATGGGGGTGGTCCCTATGGTAGTCCCCCCCTTCTGGGGGCTTGATTTATGTGGTATGAGAGTCTGCAGGAGCTCTGAAGTGGAGCAGGTTGCTCCAGAAATAGACTCATGGAGGTATTAGAATCGAATATGTGATTTTATTTAACTTTTTTCACTGAATGAACTTTTCCTTTGTACCCAGGGAGCAGTTTTTGCTGAGAACAATCTAGTCATAAGGCACTGTCTAATATCTAGAGAAGTCATTAAGCCTTTTTTAGTCCAGATGATGCTTGCTGGCTTGTGATGCTAGAGCCATGCAAGGTGCTTGTTGACCAAGTGTTTTATGGCTGTTGCCGTCTCCACTGGTTTGGCCCAGGCTTCCAAAATAAAACATTGCAGGTTTTCACAGCCAGTAGCATCCCCAAGTTTGTTTTGATTATGGAGAATGCTTCTTCATTGGTATTTGGTATCTACCATCTCAGTGTTGTCACCCAGCAGTTCTTGCTGTTTTTCAGCACATGGACCCCTCAAAATACTTCTAGAGCAAATGTTAACTTGCTGAATTTGAACCTACTACTAGAGGTAGACTTTTTTTCCGGAGTTACCCATAGTTACCTTTCCGTGAGCTCCTTTGAGCAGTACTCAGACAATAAGGGTGGATCAGGTGTCTGGTTATATTTTGGCCCATGAAGCCTTCTTTCAGCTGGTTCCTGGCAGAGCGCCTTCTGTGGCTTCAGAAGGTGTTTCCTTATTTGCTTCTCTCTTTTCTATTTTGGTGTTGACACCTTGAGTCTCCTCCTTGTGTTTAAAATGGCCCTTCAAGTTTTCTAATTGCTGGGCTGTTGTCATTGTTTTTGAGGCATCTGAATGACAGGTGCAGACCCCATAAGGCAAGAAAAGTAACAAGGGCTTTCTGTTTACTATTATTTTAACAGTAGTTGGTAGAGAGCATTTTCTTCCTTGTAGCTCTTGGAGTGCTGTCTCCAGAGTTCTCCAGCTTCGAGAAACCCTGAAAACAGTAAATGCTGCCTTATCTTCATATCTGTGCTGCCTGCTGTTGTCTTCAGACAGGCTGAAACTGCAGTTTGATGACTTGCCTGGAGGACTGCCTTTTGTTTTCCCTGTTTGAATGGAGGAGAATGGATGAAAGTTTGTAAGCTGGGCTAATGTTATGTACCTTGGTGCTCTTAAGCTGTCATGTTGTCACGGCATGTGAGTTTACTTGGCCTAGGAAAGGAACACATTGGTAAGGGACCTGTTTTGCTTTGATATTGTGGCTTGTAATTTGCCTTTTGCTTATAAAAGCCATATCCAGGAGGGAAGGATATGGCAAGGACAGGCTGGTAACCTTGGTTGTGCATCTCTGGTTTGATGTTCAAAAAAAAAAAAAAAAAAGGCAGGGAGAATCAGTGAATAATACGTTTAGGTATGTGTGAATAGAAGAAAATAGCGACTATCTGAGCAGCAGGGGTAAGACAATTCTACTGCGTTCTACACTCTCAGAGCTCACTTTTTTCTTTTTTTTTTTTTTTTTCTCCTCGATCTCATTTCATCTCCCTAGTGAAAATATGTTCCAGGTTTGCTGAGCTATAAATGATTTTCTTCAGTCATTTTGTGTAGTTGCTTTTGTAGAAGCTGACTTCTAAATCTGGCTGATTTCTGATGTGGTTTTTTTTGTTATTGGCAGTCCATTCTGGGTACTGTGGCTTAACTTGGACTTGTTGGGGGAGATATGCAAGCTATTAGCTCTGTGAACCTTTGAAGCAAGAGGAAAAATGGAAATGTTCTTCTGGCTGTTTCCTGTGAATGAACCATAAAGCTCTGTTGTTCGATAGTACTAAACAATAAGCAGAAAGCCATGTTGCAGCACACTTCTGGATGGGTTTATTAACTTGCTGTGTCTGGAACCATGGAGGGTTCCAGATGGTGGCCAGGGAGGCAGCAGTGAATAGAGGGGCTGTTTGGAGGAGGTATTATAGTAATGGAAAGCTTGTGAGGAGTGTTGACTGGCTCTGCCTGAGTGGAACATGGAAGAGGGAACCTGGAGAAGCTGCAATAGAGGACAGATTATGGAAAAAATGGTTATTGTTTGCTGTTTGAGATGCACAGAGGTAAGGGAAACAGAGCAACCAAATGCTTCTGACTATAACTGTGTGTGCATTTTTACTTGATGTTACATGCAAACGTGTTACTGCCTTTCTGATCTCCACTGACGTGCTAGAGCGTGAGGAAGGGGCTCAAGACTTTGGTTTGGACTGCAGGTTGCCTTGTGGTTCATGGCTTTCTAGTATTGTCTTCCCCCCGCCCCAGAACTGCTAATCTCTGTTATGTCTTCCTCTGCTGTAAGAAGAATCTTGATGTTGGCTCGTCTCTCTCTGAACAATACAAAGTGGTCATTCAGTGTCAAATGACAGCTGTTGGTCCCTGAGCCTGCAGAGCAATCTGTAAGCCTAAAAGAGCCTCACACTGACTACATCCTGGTTTTGATGATTTATTTGTCTTTAAGGCTTGCTCGAACCCTTATCTTGTCCTGTAGTGGTGCCAGGAATGACCAGGCATTCATGAGAGATTGGGGTAGCTGAATAACCCCTGAAGCACCTGAGTTGGATGAGGAAGAATTTGGCTTTGTGACAGCACTGAAACTGGGAGATGACAACCAGTTATTGTGACTTAAAAGATGTAGAAGTCACTTGCATAAACAAAAGTGAGATGAAGTGTAATCTCCAGGGTGAAATAGAAACCAAAGCAAAATTTCCTAGATTAGATTTTTTGTTACATTTTTTTTGTTCAAGAGGTGGTCACACAGCTTTGTCTTCAGTCCCGTCTTCCTGGATCCAGGTTCTCTCCACAATTCTGCTCGTGAGTCAAAGGCTGAGAACAGTGATCTGTAACGCACGTATCTACAGCTATTAAACGTTTTATTAACAACTGAAGTCTCGCTGGTTTTATCTGATCTTCTCTTCTTTCATCTCAGCATGACCTCTCAAGGTCTTGATATAACTGTGGTGTATTCTATGGCTTTCTCAGTGCTTCTTCCTTGCTATACAGCATGCTGATGTAAGGTATAATTCAGTGTTAGAACACTGAAAAAAAAGTGGCAGAGCTCCCTGGTTCGGAGGGCTTTGCTTCTCCCTGCTAAATGCTCAGTTTCACTTTCTCACTCTTGTCTTTTCGCGGGTATGCTGGCAGTAGGTGAGCTCTTGAGCAAAGAGCAAAACTGCACTTTTCTGCAATACCTAGGAGATGATTCCTTAACGTTGAGGTTTGAGCAGCTTCAGGCAGAGTCGAAGCTTGTTCTTAACTGATTTACATGGGCATAGTTAACCAGGACTATTATTAGGCTGCAATATTGTAACACTGAACAAGTAAAACTTCAATGTGGAAGCCAGTAAAGACTTGAGTGCGAGCTCAGGCTGATATAAAGTGAGATGCTTTCTCACCTGTCCTATGGACTGTAACAGACTGGGCTAACTGCATAGGGCGTGGATTGCAATCGGAGGCTCACCACTAGGTAGCTGTACTTTTACCTCAGAAAAGAAAACTTCAGCCTGGCCTTTGACAGATACTTTTGAATGCACAGCTGATGCTTAATGAAGATGATGAAGCAGGTGGTAATGTGGAAGGTACAAGGCTGGGTATAAGAGTAATCAAAACCTAGGAAATTCTAAAGATATTAGTAGATCAAGTAGTAGCTTCTAACTACTCGGTTGAGTTTCATTTAGAGTATTTGAACACCAGGGTTCTCTGAAGATGGCGCCCAACTAGGCAGAAGAAGTCATCAAATTTGATGGAATGATTACTGCCTGCAGGGATGGACCCAGGAAGCGGGGGGTGGGTGAGAAGCCTGAAGTTTGTGTGCACTGAGGTCAAACCTAAAGATTTTTTTTTTCCAGTTGGAGTAGTTTTGAGTGCAAGACCTTAGTTATGCAAACTAGTGTTTGCTCATTTGAGTTACGAATATATTTTTTCCATAGACTGTGTGCCTGAACAGATGGTGATATGCATGAAAGATGAGAGTAATATACAGGTATGAAGAGGATAACAGTCTAAATATATATGTATTTATTTATTTATTTAGAAAGAAACTGTTTTATGCCTGAAGGTCTTGCGCCTGGAGAATTTCTAGGAGAGGTAGTGAAGTGCAAAATATTGTAAAGCCTTAAAATAATACACAGGCAATTCTTAACGGTTCTGTTCTGGGGCTTTACCCAGGTAGTTGGGACAATGCAAAAATTCTAATAAGAAATCACACTGTAAGGTAAATACTAGCTCTTCTCCTGGGACTTTGGGATTTAAAGTTGTTACCTGTGTGTGTGTGATGGTACAAGTCCTGTACTTGGAAAGTGCAATCTGAGTTAATTGGGGTTATGATGTTAAGAAAAAATTAAAATTAAGACTTGACATTTGATTTTTTTTTCTTTTTTTTCCTGACTTCCGTGATTCTGATTTGATTCCGATTTGTGTACATAGATGCAGGTGGTGGCACTAATGTCTATGAGCGAGTGTGCTATTGGTTTGTTGCATAAAAATACAGGGAGGGTGCTGTGTTCTCCTGGTAAAACTGAGATTTTGGAAAGACTGTCATGTATAATTGGTGTGCCTTCATGAAATCTAAAATCTGCTGTTGAATAAAGTTTGGGAAACACATCTGTTGCTTCTTCTGTTTAATAGTAGTAAACTGAAGCTAACCTTTACAAATGCAGTTGGACAGTTGTTTAAAATAAACATTTCCTAGCAAAATATTTTCAGTACCTCTTTTCTCTGTGGATATTGCAGACTCCGAAGTCTTCATTGTATTTAAAAGGAGTGTCTTGCCAAATGTTGGCTTGCACTGATAACTGGTTTTGGTTTTCGTTTTTAAAGAAAAAACCTAAAACAACCACACACCACCACTCCCCCCAAACCCAAAAAACCTTGTAAAATGTTTTCATTTGATAAGTTTCCTATTGCCTTCTTTTTTTTTTTTTTTTTTTTTTTTCTTTCTTTCTTTCCTTGTATGATTGATTTGTTGCTCTCAGATATTGGACTGTTTCTCAGTCATTTTTACTCCAGTGTTTTGGGGGAGGGAGAAAAGAGTGATGTTCGTGTCTCATGATCCCTGTCTTGGTTCTTTTCTTGCAGTGGACTGTTGGAGGTTCTAAAAACAAAAAAAAGGCAAAAGCGGGTAAGGCAGAGAAGAAAGGAACCATGAAGAAACAGATGAACAAAGCTGCCTCTTCAGGCAGTTCAGATAAAGACAGCTCGGCTGAGAGCTCAGCACCTGAAGAGGGTAAGATAACACCTGTGGGTCTACTTACAGAGTAATTCCAAGTGAAGTTACCCCTTTGTGCGCACTGAAAAGTAATGTTAAATAGTGATGTAAAAGTCTACCTTCAAAGAGTTTCCTTTGTGTTACCGGTAGTCTGGATGACTCTTAAACTTGCCATGGCTTGAAGTGCATATAATTCAGTATAGCGTTGCTGTAAGCACTCCATTACAAATGCAATGCTAAATACTGTTTCAACTGAAGAATGTATGACATGTTTCATTACTTGACTTTCTCCTACAAAATTCTTTTCTTCCTTCTAGCATGTCCCATCTGTAGTGGGGGTAGCGTTTTCTTTTATTCCCATTGATGTATTTTCCCTTCCAAAACTTCTTGTGATGACAAAGGGAGAGGTGTATGGTGTTGCGTGATACAAATTAGAATTCTTGCACATCTATATTGACATGGAAGAAGAAAAATCATTACTATAACTTTGTCAGAATTTTTTTTACATGAATATTGAGTCTGTTCCAATACTGGGCAAACTTCTTGTGTTCTTTCCTGTTTTCATCATGCCAGTGAAGGTTTGCAGGTGGCTAGTTGCAATTTCAGTTGGTATTAAAAAAACAAAGCTAAGAAAGAGTATGAAGGAGCCTACAGTTTAAGTATATTAAGTACAGTGGAGACAGACAAAGCATAAAGTGACTGAACCTGTATATATCAGTGCATACAAATCAAGGTTTTTCACAGTGTAAGCTTGCAAAGCTGCAAGCTTCCAGAAATACCAAGACCAGAATGAAAGTGGAAGAAAGAATCCTAATGTGATTTGGTGTAGTATAGTCGATTAGGTGAGATAATCAAAGCACTTGGACCTGGATCAAGTTTAAAGGTCATGTTACTCAATATTATTGGGGAGTGAGCTGTTCCCTAAGCCCATGTGTAACTGGGAGGGCTTGTTACAGTAATGGAGCCAGCATCATAGCCTTACCAGTCCTGAGGGTAGTGTGTTTCAACTTTATCTTGATGTAGCAATTCATAGTGTTGCAGCCTTCAAATGACAAATATCTTGGTTCTTCAGGTTGCTATAATGAGGAGCATTGGTGGTGGTTAATAGTGGCATTTGAGGTGCACACACACTCTTACAAAGTTATGGATGTACAAGCAACTTATAAAGGACATAAGCATATAGGCATAGAAATCTGATCTTAAGACCCTAACACACTAACCAAAAGGCCTCCTAAAATTTGCTTGTTCTACTAAGAATTTTTACTTATAATCCAATTTGTGTTCACATGTACCAGTCATTTTATCATTTTTTAGCATGCATATCTTACGGTAATAAAGTATTTCCTCCTGGGTTTAGTTTTCATGATATGTATGCTGTTATTATAGTGGAAGAGGAGTGTAAAATTCATTCTTGATATCCTTTGCTAACATGCTACGATGACGTGGTTGGGCTTTGCCCCAGTTGAATCTCACTGCCTTGTATTTTTGTTTTAGGAGAAGTCTCTGACTCAGAAAGCAACAGCTCCTCATCTAGCTCAGATTCAGATTCTTCATCTGAAGATGAGGAATTCCATGATGGCTATGGAGAAGATCTGATGGGAGATGAAGAAGACCGAGCTCGACTGGAACAAATGACAGAAAAGGAGAGAGAGCAGGAGCTGTTTAACCGGATAGAGAAGAGAGAAGTGCTAAAGAGAAGGTGAATTTTATATCTGTTGATATTTGGTAGCAAATTTATACAGGCTGTATGGGGAGTATGCCGACTGTGCTCTCATGTTTGGGGCCCAAGCATTCAGCACGATAAAGTGAATTAAGCTTCGCTGCAGATTTTTTGCATAAAGTGTCTTTGTAGCTAGTTGAGAAGCACACAGAAGGAATTCTGCATGTTCTTGTAAAAGTCAGTTTCTGAAAGTTTCTCAGCTGTTGAATATGTGTGGTTCTGTCGGCTACCATTGTAGCCATATTACTGCTTCGCACACTAGATGCCAGACTGTCAGAAGGACTGCTTTCTCTTCTGTCTTTTTTATATTAGCTGTCACACACTGATACTTTGGAAAAGGGCAAACAAAGAGTAAGGTGTATATGAGCTGCTGGAATTTTTCAGAGAACAGTGGTGAAGCACAGGGCATGTTAGGGTTGCCTGTGTATGGGTGCGAAGCTGGTTGGGGCCCTAATAGAAGAGAGAGATATTGAAATAATGAGGAGTGGTGTTGGATACGCCACGGGATAGTTTGTGGATTTCTACCTTAGGTGTTGTGGTTTTGTTTGTTTGTTACTGTAACACTGTCCTGTCAGGCAGCTTCCTTGTAGTAAAGGTATTTTTCTTCTCATGTGTCTAACGGAAAAGATTTGGCATGTGTGGGGCAAGTTTTCTTCAGTTTCTTCCCTCTTCAGTGACTTCTCTCTTTTCTCATTTGCTCAGAAATTTCTCTAGAGGACTGACACCTGCTGAGTAAATCATGTCAATACAAGCTACTGTCAGGCTGTCCATTTGTCCAAGCCATAGTTAGAGCACTGCCTGTCTGTCTGTGGTTTTAATACTACTTTCAGTGTCTTCTCTAGTTTGCTGCTCTCCTCAAAGGGATCAAAATGAGTGAAAGATTGGATTTAGATCAGGTAGAAGGACACCATATTTTTTAATTTCATTCACTGTTCCATGGTGACTGAATGTCTGTCTTTTAAAATAACGCTGGAGAATACTTGATAAGAACAAGCTAAACAATCTAAGCTTGAGTTACTGATTTTATCTTAAACGAGTTTGTCCTGTTCTATGTAAAGGGGTTGGCAGGTAGAACTAAGGGGGTGGTGGTGGTGGGTAGTTATTTAAGTTTATGGTAAGTTGAATCTTTCAAAATGCTGTCTAGCTCTTTGTATGTACATTGTGCTGTGAGTTCATTGGGATTACAGCAGACATTGCATGTGATACAGTGCCTGTGCCCTGTGTTTTATGCTTCATGTTAAAGGCATAAAGGGCAATGAGCTCATCTGGCACTTCAGTTTCTTGTCTACAAAATCCAAGTGTAAAGGACTGAAGAACGGACTGTGTAATATGTATGTGGATAACACATTTTGAATTTCAGTTGTTGGAAATTAAGTAATTTTTATTTTCTTGTGTTTGTCCATATGCACACTTCGCTAAAGCTATGACCAGTCCATGATGCAGTGGAATCTCAGTTACAGGACAGTTCCAGCGAAATCACTACTCTTCTGAATACAGTGGCTGAAAATAAGATTTCAGGGTGACATATTTCATGAAGATAGAAATGGAAGTGCCTAAATTGGACTGCAGAAACTGCCTGAGTCTGATTGGAATGTAGCTGCTGAAGGGGGACTCACTGTGACTTCTTTGCAGTCATTCTTATACAGACCAGTGCCGGTAGAAAGCTGGAGTTTAAGCATGAAAAAATTAGCATGATAGTGGCTTTCAACAACCAAGTTTTTAAGCTGTTGAGATTCAAACGATGTGAAATAGTGAATTGTTTTTAGAGTTGGAGGCAGCATGCAATGGTCACTACGCTGGCAAAGGTGAAGATGGAGTAAGGATAGATTTCTGGGGAGTAGTCATTACTATGCGGTCTCCTCAGCCCTTTAGGTTAGCTGTCTGTAAGCCTGCACTTATCTATGCTCAGCTTTTCTTCACCTCTTTTTTCTTGGGGAAGGGAGGGGATGGGAATGGGGGACAGGATAGCATTAGAGGGTTATCCATCTGCGGCAAGCAGTGGAAGTGTTCCTTACAGCCTACTAACAAGTTAAGCTGAGATAGCATCTGTGCGGTACTTTGCTCACTCAGGGGAGAGCATTCTTTCATACATTCTTTTTGTTTCAATATCTGCTACTAGGTTTGAAATCAAGAAGAAACTAAAAACGGCAAAAAAGAAAGAAAAGAAAGAGAAAAAGAAAAAGCAAGAGGAAGAGCAGGAGAAGAAAAAACTCACACAGATCCAGGAATCCCAGGTAGGAAATGAAACTGTCCTTAGTAACAAAGCCTCTTCCCTTGGCAATAGGAGATAGGATGCTGCCTCTCTCTTCCCCTAATATTTTCCCTTAATGTCAAACAGTGTGGTAAGCAGGTTAGAATTTAGTACATTTATAAGCTCAAGCTATCTTTAGCCTTTCCAGATCATTTAAAGAAATTAACATCTTTGGCCTGCTGAGACATGCACTGATAATTCCTTTTAATGAAAAATGCAAAGTTGCAGCTATATCTAGAGTTGCTGTGATAGTCCTCCCATGTGAGAACCCAACAGTAACCTTTTGCAGTTCCTTTAGCCCAACTTCTGTCATTCAGTCTGAAACATTACATATGCAGTCTTTCTTGTGAGGGAAAGTTTGAGAGAGCAGGCCAGAAACTGCTCAGCTGTTGTCTTAATTATTTTGCATGCACATACAATGGAAAGAATTCTTAGTTTCTACTGGTAGGGGTGTGAAGGAAAAGCTTGAACGCTAGGAGGAACAGAAGTAGTTCTGTAGTTTTTCCACCTCCAGTAGAAAGAGGATAATACCAGTTTTTGGGGTGAGGCCTGTGTAACTGAACTGTAGTTTCAAATGGCTGAATTGGCTGTAGTTTCAAATGGTTAAGACCCCGCCCTTAACTATTTATAGAGTCTGGGCAGATAGGCTCCCAGAATGGGATGGCATTCATCTTGCCTAACTTTAGCCATCTAAGAACTAGTTGATTGTTTGCACTTGCCGCTTCTGTCTTTGTGCAATGGAGGAGGGCGACTCCAGCTGGCAATTCATTCCATGTTATTTTCTAGTGAAATAGATGTTTAACACTTAAATCAAATTAGGTGAGATGAGTTTTCCCTTAGGCACATGTTAAGTGGAGTGAATCTCATCTCCCTACCCCCCTCAACTCCATATGTGTACATGTGTGTATATACTTATACAGTCCATATATATAATACATAATGTGTAGACTCATAAACATATATGTATATATAAAAGGATCTTATGCAGAGTTCTCTTACAGTGCCTTCCAGAAATTACTTCGGCTTACTTCAAATGACTGTCTCTTATGCTTATTATAGAAACTGCTTTCTGTGCTACCTGGTATTCCAGATAGACCTGTTAGAAATGGAAAATATTAGAAGACTTAAAACATTTGAGATTTGGATCCCTATTGCAGACTTTACACCCAACTTTATTTCTGCTTTAAGTATTTTTTAATGTAACTTTTCTCTTTGCTACTGAATGAGAACAAGTGCCTTGTTTTGGCCTTGCAGAAGGAGAAGCAAATGAGAAGAATATTCATGCAATTTTTCCTCATTACTTGCTAGTTGCAAAATTATTTCCATTTTATTTCTCTAGTCCTTTTTTAACCTTAAAGGAGGAGTTTTGAGACTAAAACTTGGTGGCGGAAATGTTGAAGTATAAATATGTTCATTATTTTTCATACGAAGTAGAAAAAAGAAATGTGCTTCAGATTGATTTCCCTCTCCCTAGCCTCTGTAAAAATGAACCAAGTTTTCAAAGTGTGCAAACAATCTTTGTTTTAATGCATTTCAAGTTATGGATTGCACTTGGTGTTGAGGGACTTTCTGTGCATGTTTTTAGGTCATGTCACATAACAAAGAGCGGCGATCAAAGCGGGATGAGAAGCTAGACAAGAAATCTCAGGCAATGGAGGAGTTAAAAGCAGAAAGAGAGAAAAGGAAGAACAGAACAGGTATGAAAACGTGTTGCTATTGCTACAATTTTTTGAGGCATTACAGCTTTTTGAAAGTGCTACTTCCTGTTTCTAATTAATGCAACAATCCTACACCTTGGAGTGGATGAATTCCATGTCTGTGTTTCCCTTGGTCTTCTGCCTGACATGACCACCTAGGGTATTGTTTGGTACCACTGATGCTCTATTCCTCCCCCTGCCTCTCCCCGGAATGGTCTAAAAACAAAGCAAACTTTCATCACAGTCCATTGAATGGCGCTTAGTAATGTTTAGTTCATGTATTTGAATTGGTCACTTAGATTCTCTTATTTAATCTCTGAACCAGCCAAACTGTATTTATTGTACTTCTGCTACCTTGTCTACATTTGCTTGTTTCTTCACTGGCAAATCATCCTGTCAGTTTTTGCCACGGACTTTTGATGCAGCCCTTTTTGTTACTCTGCTGGGTTTCATTGTGCTCCTGTGGTGGGTTGACCCTGGCTGGATGCCAGGTGCCCACCAAAGCTGCTCTATCGCTCCCCCTCCTCAGCTGGACAGGGGAGAGAAAATACAATGAAAGGCTCATAGCGATAGGGGCAGGGAGATCACTCAGCAATTACCGTCATGGGCAAAACAGGCTCGACTTGGGGAAATTAATCTAATTTATTACCAATCAAAATCAGAGTAGGATAATGGGGGGGGAAAAAAAAAAAATCTTAAAACACCTTCCACCCACCCCTCCCTTCCTCCTGGGCTTAGCTTTACTCCCGAGTTCTCTACCTCCTTCCCGCCAGCAGTGCAGGAGAACGGGGAATGGGGGTTGCGGTCAGTTCATCACACATTGTTTCTGCTGCTCCTTCCTCCTCAGGGGGAGGACTCCTCACACTCTTCCCCTGCTACTGCGTGGTGTCCCTCCCATGGAGAGTTTTCCACGAACTTCTCCAGCGTGGGTCCTTCCCACAGGCTACAGTTCTTCACGAACTGCTCCAGTGTGGGTCCCTTCCATGGGGTGCAGTCCTTCAGGAACAGACTGCTCCAGCGTGGGTCCCCACAGGGTCACAGGTCCTGCCAGCAAACCTGCTCCAGCATGGGCTCCTCTCTCCGCGGGTCCACAGGTCCTGCCAGGAGCCTGCTCCAGTGCGGGCTTCCCACAGGGTCACAGCCTTCTTCAGGCATCCATCTGCTCCAGTGTGGGGTCCTCCATGGGCTGCAGGTGGATATCTGCTCCACCATTAACCTCCATGGGCCACAGGGGGACAGCCTGCCTCACCGTGGTCTTCACCACAGGCTGCAGGGCAATCTCTGCTCCGGCACCTGGAGCGCCTCCTCCCCCTCCTTCTTTGCTGACCTTGGTGTCTGCAGGGCTGTTTCTCTCACATATTCTCACTCCTCTCTTCTGCTATAGTTGTGCAGGTTTCTTTTTCCCTTCTTAATATGTTAACACAGAGGTGCAACCGTCTGACAGGTGGCCATTGGACACAGGGGAAGCTTCTAGCAGCTTCTCACAGAAGCAACCCTTGTAGGCCCCCCGCTACCAAAAACCTTGCCATGCAAACCCAGTACAGCTCCTCTGCAAACATGAGATTTTTTTTTTTTTTTTCCTTGGAAAATAACAATGACTTCCCTCATCCTAATAGTTTTATCTTGTATATCCAGTTGTTATGCCCATCTTGTATTGCTACGTGCAGTCAAATTGGGAGGCTGAAGATAAATACAACTGAGGTTTAAGATGCTTTAAAATACTTTGATTTCTCTCTTTGAATATATACAATGGAGTGTTTAGCCTACTAGTGGATTTGAACATGTGGCACTTGTATCCAGTGTAAAATTAACAGCTATCTGCCTCTTTTTTTTAAAACAATAAGGTTTCAGCTCTAAAAGGGAAGCTTCCATAAAAAATTTACGGCTTGCTTTTTTTCTTGTTCTCTCTCCTCCTTCCCCCAGCTGAATTGCTTGCAAAAAAACAGCCATTAAAAACTAGTGAAGTATACTCTGATGATGAGGAGGAGGAGGAGGATGATAAGTCTAGTGAGAAAAGTGATCGCTCATCCAGATCCTCATCCTCTGATGAAGAGGAAGAGTAAGTAGTAAACACTGGACTATGATTACTCGTAAGTGTGTGTTCAAAAACAGAGATCCGCTTTATGTAGACACATGCTGTTTTAGAGGATTGTTTGGGGGCAGTTCAATGTCTCTAAAGTGGTTTTGCCTCTGGGCACACTTGCACGCTTCTATATCATGGTGCATGGGACTGATTTACTTTGGATGGGTTTGCATCTTCAGTTCCCTGCCGTTACCTTTAGCACCATTTACGCTGTTGTTTACAGATTTGTTTAGTCCTACAGTTTAGCAGCCATAGAGATATTAGCAGGGCAGAGATATGTGCTGGCTTACCTTAGAGCATTGGCCTATAAACTGCCTTGACGTGTGAGTCTTTCTGCTTTGTGGTAGCAGGGGCAGTGGGTAGCAAGTCTGGGACTTTGCGTTAAGCCTTTCTCATGAATGCTAAATTCGCATATCTACAGTCAACTAGTGCATGATGAATCATTCCTTTTACTAGTCATTTAAATAGTTAGCACTCATGCTGCACCTTGCTCAGGACCCCTTTTTTCGTGATTATGTCTCTGCTTTTTTTCTTTATTCCTTCTCACCTTTCCCAAATCAGGAAAGAAGAAATTCCTCCTAAATCCCAGCCAGTGTCCTTGCCTGAAGAACTGAACCGAGTACGGTTATCGCGACACAAGCTGGAACGCTGGTGTCATATGCCCTTCTTTGCCAAGACAGTCACTGGCTGCTTTGTCCGTATTGGCATTGGAAATCACAACAGCAAACCTGTTTATCGGGTGAGTTTAGTTCCAAGGGATTTAGTTCTTTTTATAGTGCTGTAATACAATATTTGCAGCTTAGCAATTCTCAGGTACCTGTGATTGTTCGAGTGATTAACATAAAAAGATTGCTTATAACCAGAAAACATAATTGCTGCCAAAGAAGTGGAGGAGACTGGTTTAAAAATAAATAAATCTATGGGACCAGCTAGGTGAAGAGATATATTTAGTGAGAGAGAGGGAGCACTAACAAAGCCTATTCTTCCAGCTTTGGTTCATGCTGTCTTGTCTCATCATTTGTATTGCAAACTAGAGTTCAGGACTCTGCTTTGACCAAGTAAGGATGAGTAACATTCACTTCTTATTTCTGGGAATGTTCCCAAGTTATTGCATGGTCTCGGTTCTTTTTTTACAAAGTGTTTCTAGTACATCAGTGTGCCTCAGAAGAGAAGGTGATTGAGAACACAGTTTTGTTTTTCTGTTTCATTGCTGTAACTGCACAATCATAAGATGCAATAATATTCTCTAAAATTGCATTAAAAAGGTCCCCAGAGGGGCTATATTTAGTATGTGAGGAGCACTGGTATTTTTAATTTGGGACGTACGTTAACCCAAACCAGTATTAATTGAAAAGGAAATAGAAAAAGTAGGAAAGTGTACATCACTTGGTCAGGAAGGCCGAACTGAAAAGACAGAAAAACTGCATCAAGCATTCAGATGGTATAATTTGTCAATTCAAAGGTGATGCGTGAAGCAACGAATTCAGTACCTGATAATGTACACTGAAGTGTCTTGCTTTCCTTGATCTAGTTAGAATTGTTAGTTAGATTAAGGTTTTTGATCTCTAGTGGAAAGGCCAGATATATTCCAGGAACATAAAAAAATCCCTCTTGCATCCTTCCTCTTGTGTATTTTACTCTGTGATACAGGTTGCTGAAATAACTGGTGTGGTAGAGACTGCAAAGGTTTACCAGCTTGGTGGTACCCGGACAAACAAAGGACTACAGTTGCGGTAAGATACCAAAGTAATCCTCGTCAGTTCATGAATCGTTGTCCTTTTTGTAGCAAATGAGCTTCTGTTTGGAGATGAGAGCTAAAAAGCAGACTGGGCCTTGCCATGCCGCTTACTGCTAGAATGTTGGGGTTGGGTTTGTTTGGGTTTTTTTCCCCTTGGGTGTAATGGAAATTATAAAAAAATCTCATGCAGGGACTTGTGATTGTGTTGACATCTGAGCAATTCCATTTGCGTTAGTAACCCATGATTGTTTGTATATGCCTCTTGAGCTTTGCAATACTCTTTTATATCTTTTCTCCACTGTTGTTATAATCAGATGTTAGAAATACGTATCATTTAAAGGCATACATGATTGGGTCTGGCGTACGTGTTACAACATAAAATGGTACTTTGGAGGGAAGAAGCTGAATGTAGCATCGGATTTCTCAGTTGTTCTTATGGCCCTTATAAGGATCATGAGGTGAAGATTAACAGTTATGATACAAAACATCCTGGTGAGATACGATAAGAGGACATTAACCATTTGGGAGAAACAGGAAGGCATGTGGAGAATGCATGTGGGTGCCAGTATGGAGTAAAAAAAAAAAAGTCTTATCTAAATCCATTGTGACATTCAATAACTTCTTAGGCTACCTCAGGATAGAGCTCCATGCTTTGACATTTACATCATGGCACCTAATTTTAGTATTGTTTAGTAGCAGTGTAGTAGTTTAGCTGGTAGTGCCAAAGGTAGTGCTCTGCAGAAGATGTTTAGGGATTTCTGGCTTTGACTGGCCAATGAATGAAAAATTAGATAGGGGTTGGCTCCAGCATTGTATAATTCAGTACTGTTTAAAGGTTATTTGTCCTGGTCCAAAGATGAAGGGGCTTTCTGTTTCCGAAGATCATGCCATGAGTCACCAAATAGAGTATGTAAGATTTGGGTGTGAGAGAGGTCTGTTTCTGTTTCCTCCTGAGGGTTTTACTGCCACAACTGAGTGACTGTTTACTGCAGGCTCGCTGTCTAGTATTCCTTTGCATATCCTACTAATAGCATTACTAATGCAGGCTCCTGAACTGTGGGTGACCTGACTGAGTTAGGAATAGATAGCATGCAAGCCGCAAGAGTAGCCTGAAGTGTCTGATTTTGGGCTTCTTGAAGCCCATATACACCTATAGATCCAAGACCACAGCTCTGTACCATCAGAGAGGGATGTTGTTACACTTTCTTTTTGCAGGCATGGCAGTGATTCGCGTGTGTTTCGTTTGGAGTTTGTCTCGAATCAGGAATTTACTGAAAGTGAGTTTATGAAGTGGAAGGAAGCGGTAAGTTTGCCAGACTTTAGTTTCTTCTTAACAGCCTTCTGCCAAGGACACTTTAAGTGGAAAGTAATGTCTTTTTCTCTTGTGTTTAGATGTTCTCTGCTGGGATGCAGCTGCCCACACTAGATGAAATAAACAAGAAGGAAGTGTCCATCAAAGAAGCCCTCAACTACAAGTTTAATGACCAGGACATTGAGGAGGTAAATAGTGCGTTGTAGCGAGGCTGCAGCAGTGCTTAAAGGTGACAGGAACTCATGGAGTAGAGCATTAGCTGTTACAAAGCAAAATGATCATGGTATTTGCCTCCTAAGAAGAAAATAAAAGGCTCAAAATGAAGTTGCATAACTGGATAGAGTAGCTTGGTGATCCAGCTGTTGTTTGGTGCCCACTCCTGCTTCACTTCATCCTTTGTGCCCTGTTACCTCCTCTTGAACTTGTGTTGCAGAGCTCTGAACTCCTAACCTGAGTATGGCAACTTAGTTCTCAAGTTCTGAAAAGCTAACAGCATCATGATAGATGCATTTATCACAGTTTCTGCAGTTTAATACTTGCTTAATAATGACCAAATGTGATTAGCATTAGATTTTTGTAGGTCGTAAGTGAGGGGAATGGAGCTGTAACTCATTACCAAGTCACAAATTAAAAAATGCAGCAGAGAAAGAGCAGGAGTAAAATTCTGGGGCAGTAAGTACATTTCTTAGGTGATATTGATCTGTTGCTTCTAGTGTCCAAATACTGAAATAGACATTTCATATTTGCATATTCTTGCTGTTTCCTCTGCATCTTACAGATAGTGAAAGAGAAGGAAAGGTTCAGAAAAGCACCTCCAAATTATGCTATGAAGAAAACTCAGCTGTTAAAGGAGAAGGTGAGAGATGAGATGATGCCTGCAAGCTTAATGCAGTCTTTGATTTTGAAGAACTGGAGCTCATCTGGATTATGGCGGTAGTCAGCAGTAAGCTCGACTTTAACTATGCAGCTAAAAGGTGGATCTCAAGGTTCATTGCTGGGTTCAGAACACTTAGGACCCGGTTAAAGCTATTACATTCTTTTTCTAAGGGCAGTTGCCAACAATTATAGCTGTCTCTTTTTCTGTCCTTTAAAGAAGAAGGTCTTAAGCTGTTCTGCTTTAGAAACTCTCTTTCTTTTTTCCTTCAGGGTACCCCATAATAACATTTGAAAGTTGATTTCCTATACTTTTTAAAATAGGAAAAATAAAAGTCATGTGAAATTGCTTTTTAATCAGGGGTGACTGAACTGTCACTTTATGGCCAGTACTTTATATTGAAAAGAATACATTGCTGAAAGATTTACTTGCCACTGAACTGTTTTACATGTAGACCTCCTGGAACGAATAGACCTAACAGTGCTGAGAAGCCAAAGCTGAGAAGTCAAGTAAACAAGCAGTCTTAAGTATCTCTGAAGATAAAGATAGACATAACATGTTTTGTTTGGTTTTGTTTGTGCAGTCCTTTTTCAAGACATTCGTGCTTCATATACAGTAAAAACAGAGTTTGTAATAATCTTTAGTTCTACATTCTTTGGCTTAACTGTATTGTTTGGTCATCGTTTTACTGCGAACAAATATGTAAATTTTTAGTTTTCCATTGCAGAAGAGCGCAATTGCTTTTTGTTGTCACCAGGTGGCATAATAAGCTACTGTTATGGGTCTGGTGGTGTGGTAGGGAACTCTCCAACTCCCAGAAATAAGTGGCAACTGACAATTGCAGAAATAATCATTCTTTTCCTGAGCTGTTAAATAGTGATATTAAATTTTAATCAAACCTGTAACTTAAATCATCTAACTGACTTCCTCTCCTCATGCTGGGATTAGTGTTCCTAAGTCTTCTTTAGTTTAAGGGGTTTCAAAGGTTTTCAGAGTAAGAAGTTCTGTTTTGCCTTGAGCTGTAAGGAGAGTTTAGCCCTTTGTTGTATTCTTACCATTTGGGGTAGAACATTTGCAACTGGAAAAGGGTTAGCTGGCTGATTCATGGATCTATCCCTCGTTTCTCTGACTAGCTCTGTGGTAGAGAGTAGTGCCTAATGAGTTACTGTTTGGTTGAAGGCTATGGCTGAGGACTTGGGGGACCAAGATAAGGCCAAACAGATTCAAGATCAGCTTAATGAACTTGAAGAGAGAGCAGAGGCCCTGGATCGTCAACGAACAAAAAACATTTCTGCAATCAGGTAAGAAGCATTTATTGAGAATTTTCTTTCTTAAATAGTATCAATCAAAATATACAGAGAAGGGAAACTAATGCTGCACTCATTCTTGCAGTGAATTCACTGCAAGAATTTGTCTCTTCTTTCCTGTACAATATATTGATGAAATGTGTATCATGATGGCTCTATTAGTGTTTGCCTATCTTCTCTTCCTTGTATCTGTCATTCAGTTAAAACTGTCAAAAATGTAAACTCTCTTCCACATACCCAGCAGTTGTGTTGCAATAAGAGTAATTTGTGATCAGGATGAAGCTGCGAGAATGCTGTCAGGAGTTTTGTTGTGTAGGGATTGATAAATGACAGTCACTTTCTTTCCCCCACCCTCATTTTTTCCTTTCTGCAGTTACATCAACCAGAGAAATAGAGAATGGAATATCGTTGAGTCTGAGAAGGCTCTTGTGGTAAATAGTGCTGAATTAATACTTCTGTACCAGTAGAGATGAAATGATGCAAAGGGAAATAATTGCATGGTGAAGTTATTCAATTGTTTTAATGATCTATAAAATCTTTCATATAGGCAAATGACATGATTTTAAAACAGATTGCTTTATCCTTTTGATCAACTCAATTATTGGCAGATTACTGACTGTAATAGTGACTTAGTGCATTTTGTATGGGAAAGAAATCAGAAAGGAGACTTCAGATAATAAAATAGTAAAGGAAATATTTGATTCTCTGCAGTGACACTTCTATTAAGCAAAAGTTAAGCTTGTTAACAAATGGTTAAGCCTTCACTATCCTGAGAGTTGTGCACCTATTTTCTGTGTTATATTCAATAAGAACGGTTTTGGCCTGTGAAGCATAGAACTGTGGGTGTGTAAAAATCTTTCTAATCTGTAATGCTGTTGCTGCTTTTCCTCTGATCTTGACATTAAATATAGCTGATGAATGCTTGCATGGACAGGGTGCTGTGGAAGGATTTACAAGGGTGCAGGTAGCTAACTCTGCAAAACCATGTGCTTTTTCTTCTTCAGGCTGAAAGTCACAGCATGAAAAACCAACAAATGGACCCCTTCACTAGGCGGCAGTGCAAACCCACAATAGTGTCTAATGTGAGTGTAATACTTAAGTTCAACTGAGGCAATTTGCAGAGAAACAGAAACCAATGTAGGAAGGAAAATGTTGTTTGCATTCATTCCCAACTGTGCCATATGCTATTAACGCTCCAGATGCCAGGGTGAGATATAGTTGAGTGAGATCCTGGTCTCACTATCCCAAAAGAAGGAAAAAGCAATATTGGTTTTTTTAATGGCAAGTGTGAAGGACATAAGTGATGTGGGTATGGACATGGAGAAGCAACTGTGGTTTAGACTTCTGTAGTGAGCTCTTCTCTGTAGAATTACCCAGATTTAGTTAGCTCTGGGAAGACAATTTGTTTTAGCTGTGAGTTTCGCTTCTAATTAGTTGAAACTTTCCTGAAAGATCTGTGAAAGGAGAGAGGAGACCAGACATTTTGAGCCTGTGATGGATAAAGTAGTTTAACACAAACTTCCCCTGTGATACTGTGGCAAAGTGTGCTACTGCAGTCCCCAGCTATATAAATGATGGATAACAAGGTAATCAGCTCCTACTTCTAAGCAATATGGCTTTGTTGAGGCCTGTTCTGGAATAGTATACGGTTCTGGTATCAGTACTTAAAAAAAAAACAAAAAACCAAAAAACCCCAAAAAAAACCAAAACCAAAAAAACCCAAAAAAAACCCACTGGTCAGGTTGGCTCTCATCAGTCTCCACAAACTGGCAAGGGAATAGAAAAGGAATTATATTGCAGGGCTTGAATTAAATAATTATTTCTGAAATAATTCTGTATTAGAAAAGAATCATAACTGAATAGCTTTATCATGGTAGACAACTATTATGTAAAGAAGATAGTCTTCTGAAGATTTCTTTTCTCTAGTAGAGTGTTTCAGCCAGAACTGTAAGCTGAAAGTAAATACATCCAACAATAGTGTTAAGACTAGTCACAGGAGCAAACTACATCAACAGGAAATGTATTTCTCATTTTCTCAAAGAAAGACCTTCCGAAGGATAACTTCTAGTTTGTAACTGTCAGATGCATTACACAGGTATCAGGATGATTTCAGTTGTCTCTGAGATCCTGAAGATTGGGCTAACTGATCTACAGCCTCTTATGGTTTTAGCTTCATGGATATGAGCGCTTTTTTAGCAAAATGGCAGTATAGTTTTCGCCAATTTAAATACAGTGATTTTTTTTCTTTCTATCTTTTTTTTTTTCTTTTTCCCCTCTGCAGTCCAGAGATCCTGCTGTCCAAGCTGCCATCCTTGCCCAGCTAAATGCAAAATACGGGTCTGGTGTATTACCAGATGCTCCAAAGGACATGAGTAAGGCAAGTTTCCATTTCTGTCTCTGTTATGTTCCTCCCACTGTCACCATTTTGCTCTAGAAGCTTATGAGTAATAGTAGATGTGCATGCTTCACTTCTAGAAATAGGTATCCTGTAGAGCATTATCATAGAGAAGAAACAGCTTTTTCTTTCTTGGGGAAAGAAAATTAAGTTTCTCTAGCAGTATGAAAGCTAAACTAAGTATGTTTGTGACAGAGGTGGGGAAAAAAGCATTTTTATCTCTTGTTTATCTGGACAGATAAGGGTTGGAGACTTACCTGTAGTTTTTATTTCAGGGTCAAGGGAAGGATAAAGATGTGAACTCTAAATCAGCCAGTGACCTCTCAGAAGATCTTTTCAAAGTGCATGACTTCGATGTAAAGATTGATCTTCAGGTTCCCAGTTCAGGTAGGTGTTCCAGCTGAGTTTGGGGATGTGATTGTCCAGCTCATTATGGTAGAGCTCACTTCTTCCAGAATAGTTCTTTCAAAATCATTGGTGGGCTTTTGAAAATGGGAGTAAGGACTCCATGTTTGTTATCTTGGCAAGTATCTTGAACTGAGGAGGAGAGGATGTGTGCTAGTGACGTCCATTGAGGAAACAAGAACAACTGTATTGTGTCAGACTGAAAGCCTGTGTATCCCCATATCCTTGGCTCCAAATGTCTAGAGAGAAAAGGAGGTAATGAGTGTTTTCTGATGTACTCTTCCAGTCTACAGTATCTATGACTGGCATAATCTTTGGGGAACTGATGAGAGTGTTGTATTTAATAAGCCTTGATATCTACCTTAATACTTAGTTCGTTAATTTGTCTAATCACTTTTGAGGACAGATAAGCTTTGGGTGTCTGTGATGTCCTGTTCCATAATCTGTGTACATGCTGTGCTAAAGTATTTTTATTTGATTTTGAACTTGCTGCTTTACCAAGTTGCTGGTCCCTAACTTTGGCATTGCAGATGGTATTGAAGTAAAGTTTTAGGGGAACCAAAACACTGGGCAGGAAGTGAAGGTATGCCTATAGACACAAACTTGCTGACCCTTCCTCTTTGTGATCTTGACTTTGAGAGCCTGAGATGTGTGGCAAGAACAGTTTAGTGTCATAGAATCATTTAGGTTGGAAAAGACCCTGAAGATCATTGAGTCCAACCTTTAACCCAACACTACCAAGTCCACCACTAAACCATGTCCCTAAGCGCCACGTCTTTTAAATGCCTTCAGGGATGGTGACTCATCAAATTCCCTGGACAGCCTTGACATCCAGTGCTTGACAACCCTTTCGGTGAAGAAATTTTTCCTAATATCCAATATAAACCTCCTCTGGTGCAACTTGAGGCAGTTTCCTCTCATCATATCGTGCTGTTTTCCAGTGGAGGGAAAGCATGGGAGTGTACCAGTGCAATTCGACTCATGAGGCTTTTATTTTCTTGCATTACTGGAAAGATTAGAGCTGAAGTTTCTTGGAGGACAACAATTTCGGAAGTACTGTGAGAACGCACAAAGACTTAAAACCTTGTCAAGAAGGGAAAGTAGGAGAGGTTGTCTTTCCAAACTAGGTCAAGTTTGGAACTCTGGATGTAAGACTACAGAATGAGGTAGGATGCCAAGAATAGGAGAATTCCTGAAGCAGATAGTGAGAGTCATGAACTTTAGAGAATTAGCAAGCAGATGAAGGTTAGGCACTAAAGGACACTGAAAACCAGGAGGAGAAGGATGAAAGAGACACAATACAGGTAGAGGTTTAAGTATGGCTGTTCTGGTTTTTTTTTTGTCCTCAGACAGAACACCATTTTGGCATCTTGTGCAGTCTCCTTTCTTAACAGAAGAACCTGGGGGTTGGTTAAAATGTGTATTGTAGACATGGATAGGAAGTTTGACTTCTGTCCACTTATTATCTGTGTCTTTGTGCTTGCTATTCTCATGGGATAATGATTTACCCGGAACTGAGTCTGAAGGCTCTGTTTGTATTGTGATTTCAGTGTGATACAGAGTAGTTTTCTTGAGAAATGAAAGTATACTTCTTAGCAGAAAGCTGGATTAACAAACAGAGTCAAAATTGCACGTGCTTTATCTATGAAGATAAGCTACCAGATACTGCTTGTATTATTAACTGAAGTTCTAACCAGATGTATACTTGAGAAGCCAAACGTGATTTTGTGGTGAAATTGTCAGCAAAAGCAGCAAGTAAAAATCTGTAGTTTTCATGTATTTCGGTCCTCAATTCTTTTCTTATCCCCAACAGAATCTAAGGCACTGGCCATCACCTCCAAGGCTCCACCAGCAAAAGATGGTGCCCCTCGGCGATCATTGAACTTGGAGGACTACAAAAAGAGGCGGGGGCTTATTTGAGCATGCCCACTCTGCTGCTTCTGATCCTGCATGCTCCATGGCGATGTCCTACCTTTTCTTCCTCCCTTTTCAGTTCTCCCTTCTGGGTTGGAGCAGCAGTGGAGCTGGGAAGAGACTCTTTAAAACTGCCAGTCATCTGTAACATAAACCATTCAACTATTTACTGTATAGACCTCCCTTCTTGCCCTTTCTTCCTGCCCCCCTCACAAATGTGGATCTGTGCTATTTGGGGTTTTCCCATTTCTTTTAGTTTGAGTTTTGTTTTTATTTTGTTGATGCAGCTCGTTGGTCCACTCTGTGTTCAGTATTAGCCTGAGGTCTGGATTTCCATAGGAATCTCTTGGTGGTCGCAGAATCAGCACTTGGTGATCTCCCTTTATATACCACCACAGGCACGGTGAATAAACATTGGCGCAAGACCTTTGTGGCTGGAAGGTCATCTGCACTTTCTTCCTCCTCTTCTTCCTCCTTCATCCTAGCTTTGGAGAAGGGAATCTTCAAAAACTGGCTTAGGTTCAAAGTGTAAATTTTTTTGGGAGGGTTGTGTGACTTTTTTTCAGGTGTTTTTTATCATTTTTAAGCTGCAGTACTATTTGTATCCGTCTGTCACAGTTCTTTACGGCTGTTTTGAATTTCTACCAGCTGTATTTGAGCATCTGAAATTGCAAGAAAGAAACTCATTAAATGTGATTCTTCTTACTAAAACGGCTTGGTTGATATAGCTGTTTAACTTCATGTTCCCTTTTTTACTTACACTTAACTGATGAGAGAGAGGTACACAGCTCTTGATGTGGGACTTGTCATCTGTAGCACATCCGGAGTCTCCAGCTGTAGCTGAGTGGAGTAGCTTTTTCTGGGATGGCCCTGGGGTGCTCATTGGTTGGGCTTTAATTTCTTCTCCAAGCCTCCAATATTAGATATTTAAGTTAAGTCATCGTGTCTTCTCTGGGCTCCAGCTCACTTTGTTTCTTGCTTTGTGAACCATTTAAACGGGGCTTCTATAAACAAACAAAAAATTTAAAAAAAAAAAAAAATATCACTTTGTGTGGAAGGGGAAGGACGCAGTAAGGACATAGTAGAAAGGTCAGTGGGTAATGTACAAGAGGTAGCTGATGCACATTTTTCATATATAAACTGGTACAAGTGGAGTGCAACACTAGCACAAGAATTGTATGGCTTTATGGAATATTTGACTGGACACAAGGTGACAGCTAAATTATCACTCAGGTGTAAAAAAAAAAAAAAAAAAAAAATCAAAGTGTAAATATAAGTGACATTTAACAAAGAACTTTTCCAAACAAGATACAACTGAATATATGGAGCTAAGAACTAAATTAAAAGAAAATTAGAAATCTAAAAGGTTAGAGGCCCTCGTTCAGGTAAGCGTGCAAGCACGTGTTTGTTCCTACTCAGGCAGTACGTATATAATAACTTAAGCACTGAACTGGATAGGAATGTTTCTGGGGGACCCTGAAGAGGGAAAATGCTGATGCTCTTCTTGTGTCAGAGCATTACTGTTTTTCTGAAATCATACACTGGTTACGTTTAAACCTGTGTTTGATACTTTCTTGTTGGATTCTTAATGAAACTTTAATCTAGTTCTTATTTAACTTTCTCTTCCTTTTTTAACAGTAGCTTTAAAGAAACATCATGTAATTGTGTGCAGATTGATACTATGAACTGTGTATAAAAAGAAAGTCAACCTATGAAGCAGCTCTTATCTACCATGTAAACAAATAATTAGGAATCCTTCAATACTTATTTACCGAATAGTCCATAGTTTTAGGACACATGTGGGTTATTCTGTAAATATGTAATCATAGACTGCTTTATTTGATGGCCTATTTTAGCAGCTTCTTTGGAGTTGTAGTAGGCTCTCACATATGTGTACTTTTAACTTTTTAAGAGTGGATTTATGGAATCTACCGTGATAAGTTCATAGGAGACATCGTGATTCACTGTGTAGATATGCATTTGATATGATTTTGGTTTTTTTTCAACAGCTTCAGTGATGTTACAGATTTGTAATAAAAAAAATCTAAACTTACTTTGCAATAACCAGTTCTCAAAATAATCACTCCCCAATGCTTTGCAGAAATAATTGCAAAATCAAGCAATTCAGGAACTGATTTTTCCACAGAAATGCCTCAGAGCTCTGAGGCACAGTGACAAGTGGTCTCTAAAGGTAAAGTTAACTCAAATTCAGTATTTTTAATATGCTCACCCTTGATGTATTGGTTTTAGGTAACTTCTACATGTGGTAACACAAGAACAGTCTGTACTACAGCCAAAAGGTCGACGAGACCCGTACAGTGTTGTAAGTAACTTTTAGTGGAGATAATCGAAACAGAGGAGATGCAGTGAGTTTAGAATGCAGATCTGAATGGTGGACTATGTCCTAGTTATCTGCAACTATGAAACTGCCACTTACCCTCTCAAAGTCTCTGGATTCTGCTGAAATACCGTTTTTAAAAGAGACAACAGTCAGTAAATTATCATGCAAACCTCCTATATTGAGAATAATACATCAAGAAAGTACTCTTGAATAGTTACAGAACTGTGTATGAAAGCTGTAATCCTTTTTCCTTTAAGTGCATGTAAAGGTGAGTGACTACACCTCCCACTCGTTAGAGAGGGAGAGATTTGTTTGCTTTGTTTCATTGGTGTCCTAGCATAGTTCATCACAATTGTACAGAATTCTATAAATAAACTTGGTTTGTTGGTTTAATAAGGTTGATTGTTTATCCCTTGATCTGAGGTGCTAAGGGTTTCCTGTCTGGAATTTGGTTGGTTTGGTTCCCCCCCCGCAGAAACTGACACTTCATTTATCAGTCTGGATGATTTTATTTAAAATACTAGTACTGTAAAATAATTAATGAAAAGTAAGTCCGCTCTTTTGCAAGAGCGGCTGTTGACTCCTGGATCACTCTCTAATGACTGGAGTTCCTCCTTATCACTAGAATCAAGCAGAGCCTCTTGGAAGGTCAGTTCACTTGTTCCTCTGCTGCATCTCACTAAAAACACAGACTTTGCTTGTCTTGTAGAAATCCACACTGCTTTTGTAATCAAAGATGCTAAAGCAAGTACGTGAACTTAGAGAAGCTACTGAATGAGATGAAGCAAGACTCTTTTCAGGAGATGCTTGGTGGGAGGATGAGACACAACAGCGTAAGTTGAAACAGGACAAGTTCTGCCAAGATGTGAGGAAAAACTTTCACCCTTAGGACAGTCAGAGTGTGCACCAGGTTGCCCAGAGAGATTGTTCTGTCTCTATTTTGGAGGTTTTCAAGAGAAGGCTGGATTAAGCCATGAGTAACATGGTCCAACCTTGTAGCTTACCCAGCTTTGAGCAGGAGGGTGGACTGGAGACCTCCCTGAGCTCCCCTCTGACCTGAATCATCCTGTGATTCTATAAGTAATTTCATATTGCTTTCTCCAGTTTTGTCTGTCTTCCCTGCATGTACTGCCCTCTCCCCATCCCCCTTCCTACATGCAGCACACAGAATTTGTCTCGCAGACGTGGTGGCTTACCACGAGCAGCGTGGCATTTCCCAACGTACATCCTTTCTGAGACTCTCTGGGTGTGTGTCTATGGAGTTCATGCTGGGGCTGTCTGTGAAACAAAATTGTCTCCATAGATTTATCACTGAACAGGCTGGAAGACTCAGCCTGTTACACTGTAGAGTGAAGAGCTGTAACTGAGATTTGATTAGCAAAGTGTTCCTTTGATGCACTTTGAACAACAAAATACATTTTAATTTTTCCACCTCATGAGCTTTTTTAAGTGCATATGCTTTTAAGCTGCCGTGCAAGGTCACAGATTTTCAAGTAATCTTTAGGACAGAGGGTCTTGAAGATGGGTTGACAGTTTTTAACTGGCTTTGGGAAGAATAGTCAACCAAAGGAAAAAATGTGCCTCAAAGGAAAAGGAATGAACTAGCTGTGAAGAAAGTGCTTCACAGCTAGTTTGCTCCTAGCAGAAGGTGGGAGCAGAAGAAGGGGAGAACTGAAAATGAAGAGTCTGCACAAACGCTTCACTGGTTATACGTGCTGGGGAATAAAAAGGCACATGGATGTCATCTCAAATTCAGGCTTTGGCATCTTTGTTTTTCCCCCCATCTTAACTGGAAGATAGTTAACCTTGTCTCAGACCACTTTAAGCTTTGAATTTTGGGGTTTTTAATTGTGGGGAAAAAAGTGCTGTAAATTTGATACTTAAACTACTGATACATAGACAGTCTTACTACCTTCAGCACAGTAACTTAGTCTTTTAGAGGGAGATGCTTAAGTAGCCAAATAAATGGATGAATTTTCTTTTTCTATTTTTAGCTGGAATGGTTAAGCACTCACTGGTTCTACCTTGCCACCATCATCAGCCGCTTGAGATTTTAGCCCCCCCTCACGCTCAGAAGCTGAAGAAATATCATATGAGCAATTTCTTTAGTCTCATACAGTGTGGAGCTATCTGGGTCAAAAAAAAAAAAAAAAAAAGCTTTATTTTCTGTTTTGTCGTTTGGACTGCAGCAGTAGTAAACATGAAGAGAGTTGTGGTGGTAACATCTTAAAATCTTGAGCTTTTCCAGCTGTTTGGAAAATCAGCTGTTACATAGTCCCTTGGGGTTCTTCATGCCTTGGCATCTATCTAGATGTTCCTCATGTGCCAGCCTTTGGACACTTGACTACTTTTCTTTAGCGTTTCTCCTTTCTACTGAGAAGAAGCACTATCCAGCTAAAAGTATGAGCAATTAAAGGAGGTAAATTAAAGTAGGAGCTTCCCTGGAATAGCTCATATGTTGCAATTACCTATGAGTAACAGAAGACAGTGTGAGTGTTGATAGTACTTATGATGGTGTGTCTGGCATTTTGTGTTAGACCACGTGTACAATACTGTGTCCAGTTTTGGGGTTCCCCAGTTCAAGGAAGATTTCAATCACCTGGAGCAAGTTCAGTGGAGGGCCATGAAGATGGTCAGGGGCTGGGGCTTGTTCAACTGGGAGAAGGTAATGGTGTAGCGCTGTAATACCATATTACTGTTGTTAGTAACAGGCCATAAGCTTAGTACTGAGTCTGCAAGGTCTCAGGGCTGAGGCTTGTCAGGCTTCCCTTTCTGGACTTTTCTTGACCTGCCTGTAGCTTTGTTTCACTTAGCTTTGCTGTAAAAACGATTTCTCTAAGTGGCTAGATGTCTGTGGCTAATTTGTTTTACTTCTGCTTACCTTTGTGTGGTGCAACCATAGTTTTATATAAGTAAGAGTAATAAGCAGTTATTTTATGTCAAATGAGGTATTTATGACCAAAACAATGATGTGGTGGAGAGAAATGCAGACGTGCTATGATAGCAAAGATCTTTGGAAGTGGAAACAAAGGATGTAGCATAGAGAAGTACAGATGGATGATGGGGCACGTGTATGGGACTGGAGACCCCGTATTGGTGAGTGCTTACTCACCAGTGGTCAAATATGTGTTTGTTGTTTGAGGTTTTTTTGGTGGTTGTTGTGGTTTGGTTTTGGTTTTGTTTTGTTTTTTTTTTTTTTAAAAGGCAGAACCAGAACTGGACAAAACTGTGTTTAAGGAGTAACAGAACAAAGAAATCGTATCTAACGTATGTGAAGGGCACCATATATCATAAATTTGGATGTAGCATGGAGCTGTAGACCAATGAGGAAAGAGAAAGATGTAAAAGCATGTTAGCAAACATAAAAAGA